AGATGAACATTAGACTATGCTTTACTTGTATTTTCTTCATATTAATCTCGCTTTTTTCTCATTAAAAACATGGCTCGCTCATATGCGAATATATCCTAAGTGTGAGCTATGGTATATATATTCTAACAACATTAGCTTCACTCCTCACATGTATCCTATGTTAATATTATTTCGTGATAGCTGGCGAAAGTACAGTGGACTTTCGCCAATATACCTCCTGCACTTTCGCCAATTGACGAAATTCCGGTTACCCGTTTTTCACAGAGAAGAATCGATCAACCAGAAAAGCTTATGTTCTCATACAGAAGATACAAAAACGCTTAGTTTGTAACTAACAGTAGAAAAATCATAATTGGTGATTTCAGTAATCGTTTCGTTTTAGTAGCATTAAGAAAACTTGTGAAACTCACTAATCTTAGTATGTGACAGAAGATGTAAGAGAGTATCTATGATGATGAGGAAATCGTACAGAGCTCCGTATGGACTCAAAATTCTAAGTCCAGTCCGAGTCCATGAAAAACAGTTTTATTGTTCGTCTTTCTAATAGTTTTACTAATTTTGTTCAGAAATGTTTACTCTACACAAATGGGTAATTTACAAAAAGTTTCCCTTAAAACCACGAGACTTGATTTTTGGAATTTTCTAAAATCTTGATTTCCCACAGACTTGGTCTGCTGGAATTTTAATGGAATTTTCATATGCATCTCACTTGACTACAAACTCTTTCAGTTGTTCAAATCTTTTTTCACATTTGTTCTAGCTATTATGGTTGAGGAGAAAAATTAAAAATAAAGGTGAATTTATAATTTTGGCCAGTACTGTATATGAATTTGTCGACCAGTTGGGAGAAAAAAAGTGTCGACGAATCGGGAATTTCAATTATTTTTGATTAGTTTCTCAATGAATCGGTACTGAATCATAAAAAACTACTATAAATTATTTTTCTTAGATAGATGAACACCTAAAAGCGATAGATTATTACCATTATCGACTTGATAAAATGTCAAGAAGTTAGTGATTAGAAAAATCTTATTAGCAAAACATTTCAATTTGTGTCTGGAATATATATAAGTCATTATTAATCGGAATACATAAACTCATATTTCATAAGAATACTATTTTGACTTCGATGCATCATCACTGTCAAGAGTCTCATCTTGTCTAGTTCATCACCTTTAGCCGTCTTTTTTATGCCATAGATGAATATCTCTTACCAAAATGTTGATAGATCTGAAGTTTTTTCTACAATTTTGTCCTATAAATTTACGAGTTATTGGTCATCTTTTAATTTGCTGTTGTGCATGTGACAACAATTTATGTCGAAAACCGTTTTTTTCTACAATTTTTTATTGTTCTTTTCATTTTTGTTACGATTTTCTGATGATGATTTGCAAACGTTTTGAAATTTATCTTGAGCTTGTTGATGGTTAAACAGAACAGATTACATATAGTATATCTTTATCATCACTTTAGTTTGAAAAAACATAAATCAATGTCTGATTACTAATACCTGATAAAAATGTGTTGGTGGATTATTATGTTATTGTAATGCTTAAACATGTAGTCGTGCAACAGAGAACATAATCTGTGCGACCTAATATATAGCACTGCAACTTGTTTAACTACTTCAGTGATTATTGCACTACCGAAGATAAAATTTTATTTAAATTATGAAAGAAGTTTCTATGTAACTTTGTAAAGTACATGCTCGTTTTCGTTTTAATATTCATCGCAATCATCTTGTTGTGTTGATAATGGTCGAGCAGCTTCATTATAATCCATTTCTAAAGACGCCAAATCTTCGCGAGCTTCCGAAAACTCACCCTCTTCCATTCCTAAATAATATATCATGGGATAAATTTATGTCCTATTAGAAAGATATTTTTATTTTTCTCTTACCTTCTCCAACATACCAATGAATAAATGCTCGTTTCGAATACATCAAATTAAATTTTCGATTTAAATTTTTCCATAGATCAACAATCGATGTTGAATTACTCAACAAGCAAACAGCACGATGAGATTTTGCCATATCTGAGCCAGGTATACATGTGGGTGGCTGAGAATTAATACCAACTTTGAATCCTAATAAAATATAAAATATACGCTATATGAACGTGAAAAGTGCATTAAATGTTTTGTCGATTGAATTAAATGGTTTGTCGGTCAATTGATGATCTTTCATAGATTTTCATAATATGTACGTTTTAACTGAAGAAGAAATCTCGTTCTTATATCTCAGTGTTCTCGAAATGTGTCGAAAACTTATACATTTGTTCTAATGAGGGAACCGCCCGAGGTGATACTCTCCGTTTTTAATGAGTTATCTCCCAATCGATAGAGTATATCGAGCTAGTAAAAATCCTAAAAGGATTTGCATTCATGGCTTTTGAAGACCCGGTTTTCTGAAAAACTAGTTTTTCAGAAACTCTAAAAAAGAACCAAAATCTTTCTTAATGAGACATAATTGTAGCGCACACATTTCTGATTAAAGCGAGATATCTTCCAGCTCTACACGATCTTTCTTTGCAAAGTTCTAGAATTTACAAGAAAAGCCCTAATTTAATTTTTTCTTATTTCTGTAGCTTTGAGCTAACAATGAACATTTAGGGTTTTTCTTGTAAATTCTATAACTTTGCAAAGAAAGATCGTGTAGAGCTCGGGGAAGCCTCGTTTTAATTAAAAATGTGCGCGCTAC